TCAAATATTATAAATAAAATATGAACACGTATTTACATGATATTTAATAATTTGTTGATGTTCATTTTACAAGTACCGAGCTACTTTGAAATGAATTTTGTTATTAAGCAATTTATATTATATTATGTTATCTATCGTATTAAATATTATAAAATTTATAAAATAACGATCGTTACCTCTTAAAGTTGATTTATAACATTTTCAATTATAAGAAGAAAAACTTGTATCTCTTATATCTAATCCGAATATGTAATTATTGGTGGCCTGTGTTAAACAAAATAACTAAAGTACAAATTCTGGTGCCATTATAAACTACATAAAATACTTTGCATTCATTTCTGACGCAAATTTTAATAGAATTTTTATCATTTAACATACCTGAATTCAATTCCCTCACAAGCGTTGACATGGCATTAGTAACACTGTCAGCAGCTACCAACAAGTCATTGCGCAAAGATCGGCCCAAGCTATTATTCGCACTGCTGGAACCACTTCCTGGTAAGCTGTTTGTCCTGAACGCAGACCTGATATCGAAAATCTCTGTTTTCTTTGCACAAAGCGATTTTTAAATAAAAGAACTAAAATTAGGATCGTACCATGCCACACTTATCTGTGCAAGCATCTATGTATAATTAAACATTTGCTCTTCCTATAATTAGAAATTATGTTGTAATTAACAAAATATGGAAATAAACATTTCAAACTAGCAATTTACTGTCACACGCATGCAGAATGATATCATCGAAATAGTATAACAGTTTCGAATGGTGATGGTTTCGTCTTATTATTAGCAACCGGTTCAAGCTATGATATGTTCAGCGCTTCATTTTATCCTCCTCATGAAATTGTATTAGAAACATGTGTTCGTACGAATTATTATTATTTGCAATCTTGAAAAAGCCATACGAACTACCAACGTATCTTTGAATATCTTTGATCTAAGAAATGTGTCACACAAAATTTCTAAAAAAAAAGAGTTACCGATTTTTTATTCACTGATATCCAACCAACGATGAGAAATTTCTGGACTATATAACGTGTTTATTATACATATATGTAAATAAATCGCAATATACCAGTCACATTCACCAAGAAAATAGCAGTCTTTATTGTATCAGTGCATTATATACAAATGATGCTAATCGAATAGTATTCTGTAATACTTGATATAAATGTTTGAAAATCATAGAGAGATTAAATTATATAAGATATTAGAAATACGTAATATAACTAATATACATACAAACTTAATTTAACAAAACTAAAAAAAGAACGTGTATGCAATAATTATATAATTCTATATAAAGGAAAATATAACAACATTTTAAATGTGTACAATAAAATTTGTTAACGTACTATGGAAAGTATATTGATACCGTCTGCTTCGTTTTGTACAATATACATGCCTGTAACTAATTATGTATGTCAATAATATAAAACTATGAAAATATAATGAAACAAAAGCGTCATAAAAAATAGCAAAAAGCAACAATCGTTTAAATAAAACTGCTTCTCTGTAACGTAAGGTAAAAGTAAAATTCACAGCGTCATCAATGTAGGAATGTTTCAAAAAGATGAAAATCGTCTTATACTTATGTAGTACCAAAAATGATTTCTGTTACTAGTTAAACAAAAATACATACGCTTTAACGTTTGCATGCAACGATCAAATGTGTGTGATTACGGTGCTCTAATTGTTCAACGGTGTGCAGCCTAATGAATTCATTGTAACCAGCACTGTTCATATAGAAGAAATCAATATTTAATTATGTCTCTGCGCAGCAATACTGAAATAATATAATCAACAGACACATGTTTTGCCATTTGATAAATACGATCACGTAATGGCTCGATATCTGTCTTGTATTTGATTTCTTCTGAAAATTTAAACGCGAACTTTTTGTACAACCGAAACGATTCAATAAACGAATTACGTAAAAAATTAAGTAATAGTGACTACTTCGAATATGGCATACAGTGCATAGCGAATGTAAAATATACAGGAGGAAGGTAATCTTTTATTTTAGATAGTGTAAAAGCCGATAATGTTAACATTTATGACATTATCACTTACTCAATTAAGTACATTACGAATCTTTGTACAAATTATTTGTGTATTAAATGATTCACACACACACACGTCGATAAAGATTGTTAGTAAAAAAAAAAAGCTATCGTCGAGACATGTTCAAAGTTTTTCGTTCAATTTTATGATGCAAGTTATAATTGTAAATATAATTTTTCACACTTATTAAATAGTTAATGTAGAAACATATCTACCGAAAGAAATCATTTAATAACAATAAGATAATATTTTATACAAAGATTGTTATTTGCAATACGATCTGTTTTATATTTGTCTGTTCTGAACTAGTTTCTTTTTAATTTATTTGTAGCATAGATTTTCTACATGCCTGCCTACCTTACATCACCTCCAACACACGATAAGTTATCTGGAATAGGATTTTGTATTGTTCCAAGCATAGCATTACTGGGTACATTTGCCACTGATGTCGTTGGGACAGGATTTTGATAGCTTTGAGACATCTGCTGTTGACACTGTGATTGTTGCTGTTGTTGCTGCGGAGTCGTAGACAATGGGCCACCAGGTGTTGGCGGTGCTGATCTACTACTTGGAACAGCACCCGGTGGTAAGGGTGGCGATTTTGTACTGCGTGGTGAACTATTTGGCGTTGATCTTGGTGATGCCTGATGATTCTATAACCATCGATAAGGTCAAGCATTACATTTAAATTACAAAATATTAGCTCTGCATGGAAAACGATGTCTCGTTGTATTGGATATAATACCTTCAGCATTTTCATTAAACCTTCTAGCTGTACCATTAATTGTCTTCTAGAATCTTGCAAGGTGGCTAAGTGAGTCTCCAACTCGTCTTTCTTTTGCCTCAAAGCTCTCAATTCTGACATTAGCGCAGGATTTTCTAAACCAGCGGCTTCTATCTCCTGTTGTCTCCTACAGTTGAATTTCAGATTCGTATGAGAAACACTGGATCATCGACAAGCAAGAAATAGAATATTCATTCGATTAAATATTCTATCTCATTAACATTATGCTGAAGCGTGAATGTATTATCAATGTAGTGTTTGTGTGTGAATCTAATGAATATATTAGTGGGAGTTCATTTTTTTTTTCAAACGATTCAGCAATCAATTAATAAGTATGAAGGTATTCCATTATTCAGATATATTCTATTGTTTAATTTTATAATAATGTAATTACGTACTCGGTAGCATACCAATAAGTTCGTACTCCCTCTCTCTCTCTCTCTCTAAAACGAGTTATAAAATTCAGACACATGAGGAATACATACTGGAAGAATACGGCAAGTTTGAAATCGATTGGTCGAGTATCATTTCATCAGATTTCAAAACTTATTTAATATATCATTTCGAGAACCTAATGTCTTCGAATAGTAATCATCTATTTGCGTTATATGGCGTTGCTTTTTTTTTCTTAAAGACTAAAGATGAACACTCTATATGTATGTATGTATGTATGTACGTATGTAATACCACGTACGGGGTGTGACGGTTGTTAGTTGTTAGTTTTTTTGTGATGTCTTCAGCTCTATTATGCACGCTATGCAACCAAGGTAAGAAAGCGAAACAGAATGTTTATAACATGCATGATCCTAGGATGGTTCGACAGGATGACCTGAGGTTTAGGCTTGATATAAAGGAAATAAACGACACAGGTATACCTTAACCTTGCAATCTCGCGCATTATTTCCTTGTTCTTTGCTTCTAACTGCGATATAAGTTCGCGTTGTGCTCTCGAGGCATCTAAAGACACCAAGTTAGCGTCAGACGGCGCCCTACCCTGTAACGTAATCATTTTTTAAAAATAAGGATATACATATGTGTATTTCCATGAACAATGCTTGCATTGTATTCAAAATATTTTATACTCACTGCTTGCTCAGCTTGCGACATTCTGGACGAGGCTCGTGGCTGTTAATCATAGTTAAGGTATTACAATTCACAATGTTACAATTTCACCTTTCTAACGTACTAGCGATATAGAATTTTGCTTTACTTTTATTCCGTACGCCAAATCTTGTGCGACACAGAATTTATTCGAATTGGTTCAACAGAATGGTATTTTCTTTTTTTTTCTTTTTTGATAGAATTACTGTTATTATATTTACTGAATTTTTTGTTATCTTCCAATATTAAATGGAGCATACAGAATATAAAGTAAAGGTTTGCCATATCATATCGAGAAAGGTAAGTTGATATCTTACCATGGTTCTAGCTTCCTGAGCCAACCTTTGTGCGTATCGTGCTATTAATTTATGTTCATCATCCAGTCTTGAACTATCCATACTGTATAGTACCCAAATAAAAAAAAATATAAATAAAATATGACTTTGTATATGGATGTTTAGCAAAAATTATGCAGATAAGACGGGTTTAAGTTCTGACCTTCTTAATGTGGAACGGCTATCCATTGACCCAGAATCAAAAGGAGCCATGAAACCGGGGTCTGGAAAGCCATTATGAGATGGTAGAGGGGAAGGCGGGCTGCAACACGATGAATTTATTAGAAGGAAACTGTTAGAACGAAACGTGCTAATGACTCGCTTAGAATTTCGACACCTACACAATGTGAGATAAATCTAAAGTCTTTTCGGGTTGTTCAGGGAACCGTGGTAAACTGTTCTTCCCTTTCTCAGGTACGCATCTGAAGCTTTTCCGCAGGGAATGTCCAATTTGCTTGCTCGGCGATTTCTATGCAAAAGTATATAGTTAATAAGTTATAATTATATAGTATAAATTGTAATTAATATATAGTTAATATATAGCTAATAAATTTGGAGAGATTTCGTCGAACATGATTATTCGAGAACGTACAAAACTGCTGTATTCCCTCGTCTCGTGATCGTTGTTATGTGTCCCAGAAACTTTGCCACGCCAAAAACAGTCTTGACAAAGCTGGTACGAGTGGCATTTCTGGCATCTATACCGGAAGCCGGTGAAGTTCTCTTTATGGCACACGTCGCACATGACGGGATGAGCCACTAAAAGAAATCGCAAGTACATGCATGCTTGTTATCTACCGAGTGTACCTTCAATTGCTTGATCAATGGGGCGACCTGTTTCAGGTAAAACACCCCCTGCACAGTACTACAATTAGACTTGCGGATTTCACGGACTTGTGACAAAAATGAGTAGGTTCTGCAAATGATTCTACATGAAGATCTGCAGTCTAATTATGATACACAAAATAAAAGAAATAACGGTCTTTGCTATTTAACCCTTTTTGGTCCTACGTCGAGATGTAACATTGAATTATTTTTCTATTCACTACTCTATTTATTTCCTCTCTTTCTATTTATTTCCTTCGCTATGTATTTGATTCCACAATTCATTTTACAATTGCATTTATTTGCACTTCTACAATTAAATTGTATGCAATTACAATGCTAATAATTCTCAAACGTTGCAATCGAATTAATGAAATGATAAGATATATTAATTGAACGATGTTACTACAAATTTTAGAACGGAACACCGGAAACGTTTCGGACCGCAAAGGATTAATGCCATGCAATAATTTATCCATAACAATAGAAATAATTTTCAGAAGATACAGATACTGCATAAAACGTCGACGAATCTTTTATGACCTTAATCCACGTACGTTATTGCTTTCCCTGAAACTGTAAAGTAAATATTATTCATTATACCGCGAAAATACTGGAAATCTCTTTAATTTCCATAATACTTTCACCTGCAAGAACAACAATAGGTTTTACAGTACGACAAGTGGTAAATGATCGACTGATCAAGTTTAATTACCATTTTTCTTAATTTCATGCTTATTACTTTGTATTTGTGAAGTGAAGAACCACACGTTTGTGAGCTTACGTGGAAAGACAAATTGCAAATAGTAAAATTTTTAGAAGGGGTACCTGTTTTATGGAAAATAAGAAGAATATCTATGCGTACAAAGCATTTATGTGCGAGTATTCATTTGAACCACATATCGTAATATGATCGTACATATTATAAATATGTATATGAGTTTTCCTATTTGTTTATCTGCTATTTCACTTTTTTCTAAGTGTTTCGCAAGTGTTTCACTAAATCGTAGGAACTCACTGGTTTCAACAGCAGCCATTCTATGATACAGCGGAAGCCAAATTAAGCAATGTGGACCAGGATCGGACATGAGTGTATCCAAAAAGTCGTTGACCGTGACTTTTAAATTCTGAAACATGAAACAACGTTGATCATATTATGCATACATACAATACATCATATAATATGTATATCACATCATATTTACGCACACATAAAATAGAGTGGATAATATATTTTACAAAAATTTACAAAAATGTTAACAAAATTATTTCTTTGCTCTCCTGTTTCAGATAGAAAATGATTCGCTGATGTGTAAACGTTATAAACAAAATTATCAATACAACAATTGTGATCTCCCAACTGTAATTGGGTACAATTTTTTAAATGAATGTGTAATAATAAATAAAAACGTTCAACGTAACGAAACAGGCGTTTTAATGTAAAAATAATTTCAACGCATAATTATTAACTTTTTCAAGGCCAATTTTAGGGTCGACTTTATTTAACATCATCCGAAAAGCAGAGAATAATTTATGGTCGTGCTTACCTGAGGAAATATTGAGTTTGAAAGGCCCTCGGTGTATCCGAAAGACGGGGTCTCGTAAACCGCGGCCGTTAGCGCTAGAACTTCTTTCAAATATTCGGCGAACCTCCAGTGGATCATATGACCGTTACTGTCCGATATTTGCGAATATATATCTGCACGATAAAAATACTTCGAATTAATAATAACATTCTAGGATCGAGCAGAGAATTTCGACACACATGAAAGTTGGCGCAAACTTACATCGGAATTTGTCCATCAGTTTCCCGGCGCATAATGTGGCTAAGGCGACTTTTACCGAGAACACGGATATTTTATTGTTCTCCCTGTGGACCGGTAACAATTGTTTAATAGCGAAAAAAAACGATATTAACAGGTTCGTTGCAGCCAATAAGTTTCCGGACGATTATACAATGAATTTTTCCACGGCACAGATCCGAATTTATAGTGCATTCGATTTTTTTTCTAATGATCTAAATTATTCTCATTTTTTAAATCGTTGTTATTAGCTTTTATTATTAATTTTTAAGTCTTGTTTCTAATTTGTATGTTAGCTCTGTTATAAATTCTCAAATTCTATTATTAGTTTTTTAAATTAATTAATTATTTTTATTTATTATTAATTGATATTATTAACTGATTATCGTAACTTTATTTATTTATTATTTTATTATTGTTCTTATACGCCACGTCGAGCTCTATTTTGGTTAATAACAATTTGTCCCTTTAAATATCGTTTTTTTGGATACTATTTAGAAAATGTCACAAACAATGAGATCAGAAATTTTTACACTAATTAACTATACTAAAAATGAAGCACTTTTTCTTATTATAATTGGATTTATCGGTGCCACTTGATAATTGGATATGAAGGGAATAATGTCGATATTATTCCACTACATTCTAATGTGTATATTTATATTTCACTTGTTATGCAATACATAATTACTGCAATAGAAAAAAAAATAATACAACGAATTAAAACTTTTCACAATGGCCGCGCAATTATTTATCTTGCAGGAATGTTTTATGCTTGAAGAAATTTTTAGTCAAGCACAAATTTCTTTATTATTATTGTTGTTTACTTAAATTTGATCGGACTACCGAACCGTAAACTAAATAACATGTAACTATTTATTATTAATTATTATTTAATTATTAATATTATTATTAATTTTATTATTAGTTATTATTTATTATTAACTATTTATATTAATTATCCGTGGCACGATAAGTATACGGAAATTAGTGCATCGGCCCGTTCACCGGCAACTGACAATGTTAACTGCACAACGCTGTCGAGCGTCGGTTATCTGCGCTAAAAGGATACAGATCGCACCCGGAAGCCTCAAACAGTATTAAGCACAAGAAGTCGGTTCACGAAAGCCTCAAGGAAAATAGTATTATACGTTAAAGAATGTTTGACCTTCTTCTTCTCATGGAAAAATAAAATATTTGATTAAAATTCTATTATATAATATTAATATCAATATTATATAAATGGATGGTAATAAATATATAAATGAATAAATATATATATATAAATATATAAATAAATATAATATATAAATGAATAAATATATATCAATATATATATAAATAAATATAAATAAATATAATATATAAATGAATAAATATATATCAATATATATATATAAATAAATATAAATAAATATAATATATAAATGAATAAGTAGTAATAAAAGATTAATTCCTCGTATAAATTAATTCCTTCTGTAAACAGAAAGATATTAGGCTATAATTTGTTAATAAACAAGTTATTGCAACATAATATTGTACTTATCCCACAAGTTTCAAGATGTATGCAACAGTAACAAAATGTTGCTAACTAACACAAAAGTTAATGTTATTCTTGATGTTCTCCTATAAGCTTCGCCTAAAATTTTAAACCATTTAAAATTCTGCAAATGTCTCTACAAATGTCTCTGCAAATGACTCTACAAATTGTCTCCAGCTTCGCGCTAGATTTACCCGTTACCGTCATAAAAATGCACAAAAAGCACACAGTCTGCTGATATGATTCTTATAAATGCACCATATATGTTGGACACCCGATAAATAGACTTTCAGTAGATAAAGCTTTAAGATCGTGCGATTTAATCGTCAAATTATTGGCCGCTTTAGCGAGTTTTTAACCCGAACCGG